GAGTTCACATATACACACGAGGATGCGAATATCAGTGACGTCAAAGGCAGGACTCACCTGAGATGCTTCGGACCTTTAACTTTTTAAAACGCAGAGGTTGTATGCGACCCAAGTTTGCATGGTAATATTAATAGATAAACATAATGTATATTTTCATGATGACCGGAAACATAGACACGGACATGTTATACGTCGTTTCAAAGTTCAGATGTTTATCTTTCAGTAGATTCACGAACCTCAGTAAAGAATTTACGACATAAAAACAGCAACGTCTTAATTTACGGCAGTAAATACTTCGTGACCCTACTTCTACCCATTACAATCAATGTTAAAAAGCCGTTTATTGGAACAAAAACGGCTTTTTAAAAACAAACAATTGCTTGTTTAAAGGGAAAACCCCCACGGATTAACTTCAGTTTGTTTGCGTTCAAGCGGGAGTAAAAAGAACCTGAAAAAACAGTAAATTTGTTTTGCCGGAAAGTTTTATCGGAGCTACGCAAACTAATATAAATGCGGTTTTAAAGTCATTTTAGGCGATTGTTAGATTATTTCACCAATCAAGTTTGGTATCGCTGAAATCCTTAAACGCCCACGAACATCAATAAACTATCAGCATCTTCCGCCAACGTGAAGCGACGCGCCATGGAGACCGTTAATCCAATCAGCCAATCAGAAAAACGAATCTTATACCAATCGCACGGCAGTTTGATTGACAGCTGCTGTTATCCAATAGAAAGTTAAGGCAATGAAACCACTCTCCCTTTGAAGCCGGGAAAATCACCTGTCTGACCATATATGGAAGTTTACGTAATTAGCCTCGCTGTTTCAATGGAACGAAATGAAATCATAGAAAACTATTTTATCTTTGGAAAAATACCCGATTAGAAAACAAAGAACAAAACAAAATCATGATTTTAGTCATTTAGGAGATGGTTTTGTGGTTAAGTTTAGTATTTAAGAACATTTAAAGTGCAAAAAACAAAAGGAATCATTATTATTTGTTAACTTTGAAGAGATTTTTTTGGGCGTTTTGAGGCAATTGATTAGAGATGCTCGGCTTTGTGCTTTGAACTAAACTGTAATATCTTAAAGCCATCTCTGTATATTAGCATGAAACTTGGTGCATTTATCGGAGACAGAATGAAGAGGACATCCTGTAAATTTCAGCGTCCTAGCCCTTATAATGACTGATTAATTCTAGTTAACATTTTAAGTAAAAGGTTAAAAACATCAAGGCTTCAGTCATTTCCTGTATAATCCTCTAACAAATGATCTGTGTTAGAGCTAAAGGTAAAACTGACAGACTTCAATAATTATCACAGATTTTAGTTCACAGTGATAAAACAGGCAGGTATCAGATATTTATGATTTGGAAATTTTTCTTAAGTTTATTCTGGTAGTTACAGACATGCAGAAGTGCACATGACTGTGAGAGGCTCTAACAAGTTAATATGGGCTCTGAAAGGGAAAAAAGCACAAATATTAGAGGTGACTGTGTTATTATCAAGTTGGCAGTCAGAAAAGAAACTCAGAAGTGTTAA